CCAACACTATCCACTGTGCCACCTACCTGCCCCTCAACCTAAGTTAGAGGTGGGTCATTGCTTTTGGGGAGGCCCTGACTTGAGGTATTAGAAGCCAAGAAGAAAATAAGAGAAGAAAGAGATGGAGCAGATGAAGACAGAAAAGAAGCTTAGTACAGGAGGAATCAGAAACAGAAGGCGAAGGAGGCAAGAGAAAGAGATTATAAATGCTTACGCAAGACATCATTTGGAGGCGATTCAAAGTAATGGGGAGGACCTTCAGTTGTTTTTCTGGGAACTGTGCTGACTGGAAGAAGGGCATTGTTTTGCTAACGGCTGACTTGTGGACAGAGGACATGCCCCTTCTCTCCTCAATGATCTGGGAGCCCAGCTCTTAGTTGCCTGCTCCTCCTCAACTCCTGCCAGCAAACTTGGGGACTTCAACATACATATTGTTACTTTCTCAAAAACCCTGACTTCATGTTCAACTTACTCATTTCCCATGACCTACACAAGGCCTGCAACCCACCTCAGACACACGCAAAGAAGGTCTTATCCTTGATCATGCCATCACCCACAAGTGCAACACCCTCCATGTTGATGAACTCTGGAATCCCCTTATCTGATCACAATCTTTTGGGATTCTACTTCTCCCTCTGCCAGACCCAGTTCTTTGTTCACACTGTTTATCTCCAATCCCTCAGCTCCTCTGTTCTTTCCTAGGTCATCACCCTCACATTGGTTATACTCTCCTCCCTTTCCCATTATGATCCTTTGGTAAACCAATTCAATTCTATACTGTCTCATTCTCTTGAGTCCCTTATCCCCCTATCATATTGCCTATATTGCCCTAGAGGCAAGCTAGGTGGTTCAGTGAATAGAACACTGGGCCTGGAGTCTGGAACACCTAAGTTCAAATCCAGCCTCAGACACTTACTAAATGTGTGACCCTGGGCACGTCATTTAACCTCTGTTTTGCCTTTTTGTTGTTGGTCCTTTGTGTTCAAAAAGTGGCGAGATTGCCTTCTAGTGCCATCTGTAGCTCAAGGAAAGGAAATCTTTCCAAAGATTAGCTGTATTGTTCTTTACTACCTTCTCTCGTTTGAGAGGGAGAAGAGAAAGAGAAAAACAAGCTTTGTATCTATTTTGCTGTGAGTCATGCTGATTGGGATAGAGGAATTGTTTGGCTGAGAGCTTACTGAATAAAATAGAATCTCCTATAATTTGAAGAACTGGCTATGAAAATACTTTATGGTCCTATTGCTATCTATAGCTTAAGTGGTAGAAATTTCTCAAAGCTCCAGAGCAGACTTGAAAAAGCTTGACATTTCTCTAGTTTGAGGGAATTGCTTGCCATTGAAAGAGCATAACATTTCCCCAGCTACCAAAGGTAGCTATGTGCTAAAAGAGCTTGTCACTATTTCAATGTCTCAAGTATAACAGAGAAGAGATACCACCAAGCTGGAGAGCTGTAAGGACCAGAAGGAAAGCTTACAGGTAACAGAGGTTTGCTTAGCAGGTGATGCATCAACCAGCCTGCTCTATAAGGTGACCGAAGCCTTCAGGTCTGCTACTGTCCAAGGTTATTAGATGCCTTGAGCACATGAGTTTTCCTACCAAAATGTGTTCTTGCTAGTGTTTTGTAAATATATGCCCACTCTCCCCCCGTGAATATTGGTAAGAGAATGTGATCCAGGTTAAACAGTGGATTATTACATTATTCCTGCTCTTATCTCCTACTGAGTAAATGTTACCATTATTCATGTTTTTGTCTTCCACTAAGTATAGTCAATCCTCAACTTGCACAGGGGTAACATTCCTAGAAATGGGCATGAAAATTAAAAACATGAATACTGATACATTAAACTATGGGAAATAGGGTGTTAGGTTCCCGTGACCACCAAAAACTGTAATCTTTTGCTAGAGATTTATGAAAATACACTTTTCTGCATATAATTCTTTACTATAAAACATTAATCCTGATAATATGCACTTTTTGCAACAAAATAACCATGAGATAACCCATAAAACTCTGGGGAGATGAGATGGAACACCAGATAGGAGGGGCAAGGACAGAGATATCAAAAGAACCCCCAAGGGCAATCTGCCATGTCTAGTTTCCCTTTTGACTCAGTGGCTGAATTGCCCCCTGATGAAAAGTACATGGCTCAGAGAGAGTCCCTGGCCCCCTGCCTGAGCTTGGAACCTTCACTCAGGGCAGATGGGCCTACCTGGGAGGGAGTTTGGGGGGGGGGGGGGAGGCATGGAAGAGTAATGTTAGGCTACTCTGTAAACATTAGAGAGAGGGCAGAAGTAGCCACCTTTTCAGTTACCCACAAACTTAGCCGATCTTCCATTTTTTCAATTTCTTCATCATGTACTTGAGAGGTTACTTCAGTACTTTCTGGAAAGGATTTACGAACGCTTTTACTAATACTTTCCCTCTTTCTGCAGATATAAATGCTGCATTATGCCTCTTAATATTTTTTCTCTACTGCCCATAGCCATGAATGTGCCGTGTGAGACTGCCAATGTGAAAGTGAAAAGGAAGTTACTAATAAAATCACGTGAATGCTTGAAGCTGCAAAAGTTAACCATATGAACATCAAGGACTGACTGCAAGCGTTAAGATCAGTCTTGCTCTTGTCCTCTATTAATAAAATAGAATTATTCCTTCTTCTGCCATATCCTTTAGTAAATGTTTTATGTTTAATAGTCAATGGCATCATGGTGACTGATTGTGGATAAATATGAAACACACTGATGGGGGCTCGGGAGCTACAGAGTTGAAGACAGAAATTTATCCCTCTTCATTCCAAGGTTGCCTAAAAGAGAGTTTGAATGATAGCACTATGGCATACCCTACATTGAGAATCCCAGATCTGCCAGCTGTAAGTTGGGGGAACGAGTAAACTCAGAGAACTATAGAAAAAGGTCTATGACACACCTGAGCCATATACGTATCACCAGCTTGGCATATAAAGAAGTATAAAAAATGCTGGTGAATTTAATTGAATTAGAACTTCCAGAACTCTGTTTAATACCCAGCTTTTTTCAGTCAATTGCAAATGATCACCTATGTAGTCTGAATAGCAAAAAGTGTTGAAGGAGTGCCACATCATAATAAGAGGTATTATTTCACAGGAGGAATAGCCTCTGGAGTCATGGTGTTCAAAGGAAATGGTAGGAAATGGAGTGGACAGGAATGCCACGTGGGGAAAATTTACCAGCCTACAGCCTTGTTAAATCTCCATCTTTACAAACCCTCTATTTTTTTTGTCCCAAAACACTGAACTATGTTAAGACATGCACCAAAGTCACTCATCCTGTTGTCAACACTAATTAATTTTGTATGCATTTTTGTCCCAGAAATCTCCACCCCCCTCTTTCATTTGTTAACTGCTATAGAGCAGGACATGAAAATAAGTTGCAGGCCAGTAGTTTTTCAATTATGCTAAGTGACCCATAGACTAAAACTGACCATAATACAGATACACCACTTTGAATTACAACTGGTTTTAACAATGGCTACATACAAGACTACCCGTTTTGTTAAAGCTTAATACAGATATGCTTCACCATCTTACAGACATTCAATTTTAAAATGTAAATGGTACAGGATATTGATAAACCAATTAGCACTGATGCAAAGCAAATTCCTCTTTTATCTCAATTACAACATGACAACTTAATAGGTCAAGATAGTCCAACATCTGAGACAAGGGCCATTCAATAAAACAACAGCATCTTGATATGGTAATTAAGAGGAAATGTGAATCCATTACTGTGTTGTTTTTTTAAAATCAAATGCTTTTTGCTGTTTTGTAGCTTTTATCAAAAGTTGAAAGGTATGTTATACTATTCTAGTTTCATTAAATGTGTTCGATACTTTACTTTGAGGTGGGCAATTTTAGGGGTGTATCTGAAACAGGGGTTCTTAACCTTTTAATGTCATGGACCTTTTTGGCAATGTGGTGAAGCCTATGAACCCCTCAGGATAAAGTTTTTAAATACACAAAATAAAAATACATGGGATTACAAAAGAAATGAATGCTTATTAGAGTCAGGAATATCTAAGTTCAAATCCAGCCTCATATACTTACTAGCCGGGTGATCCTGGGAAAGTTACTTAAACTCTCTCTACTTCAGTTTCCTCAATTGTAAAATGAGGATAATAATAGCACCCACCTCACAGGATTGTTGTGAGGATCAAAGGAGATAATATTTGTAAAAGCACTTAGCACAGGCCAGGTACATAGCAGGTGTTTAACAAACGCTTTTTTCCTTCCTTTTAATAGAAAAAAGAAAATTCTTGAAACAATTTAGGTAAAATATTGGGTAATTTATATGTAAAATAACATAGCCATCTACATAATAACATTTACGTATATGTGTGAATACATTTTAATAAGCAAAAGAAATGTTGGTTTCTGATTGCAAGGGTGAAAAACTAGCCTAGTGTAATAAGAGATCTGGCTATAAAATATACCTCTAGGACTGAATTCTACTTTATGTGGAAAATATAGAATCACCAGGAGGTTTTTTTTTTTAGCAGTATTTGTCTGGAGGACCAAATTCAAGTTAAATAAAGTCAAATAATGATCTGGGAATGTGGCACACGACCTACACCGCTCACTGAACCTACCATTCATGCCAGTTCAGTCTATTGCTAAGGTACATTAACATTTTACAGTGATTGTAACCCCTACTTCAACATGACAGAAGAAATAGGAATGTCACAACAAAAATGATAATGCAACTTTTAATGTGAAAAATGCAATGGCACTTCATGACTCTTACAAAGAAAGCTTGTGTTTTCTAAGGCCCAACCCTCTGGTCAAATAAGCAAGGTCTGGAATATTCCAATATTCCAAACAATTGCAAAAATTTTTGTGGTAGAAATTCCTATGTGTCTCGTAAATACTATTTTCCCACCATACATATATATGTGTGTGTGTGTGTATACACACACACACACACACACACACACTGAGTTCCTAAAAACATAAAAGCTAACAAACCTGATTCCAAGATTCATTGTTTCAGCAGTCCCGATCATGGTGATAGCTAACAGCATGTTGTTGCATATCTTTGCTGCCTGAAAATAAAGTAGATGGTCACCACACTGGGTCATGGGATTGCTTTTGTCCCATCACCTCCAAAGGAGATTTGTCTGTACCTGGTTCCATTAGCCTCTTAACGATAACTCTCACCTGGTTATGCTCCCAAGTGTCTGAGTCTCTCCTTGGTAGTCAGGCAAATACTATGGAGTTTAGTCTTTTAGGTCAACATTACAAAACAACACAGAGGGCGATATTCTTCCTCTGAACATAATTTACAAGTGAAAGTGGACTTGGGCAAAGTAGGCTCATTAAGCACTAAGAAAACCAGTCAATACCATGATGACCTCACAGTCCCTCTCCCCAGTACCAGTGACTGACAAGGTCCCTCTGTGGGCTCCTCCCCACTGGTGAGGCAAGGTCACACAATGCAAAAGCAAACAAGGGTTACTGAGCTAGACCCCAAGCAAGATCACAGGTCACACATGTTCAGCTGGTGATGCTGGGTATGGAGAGGTCAGAGAAAGGGGAAAGCCAATGAGCACTAGGGGCAAGACTTGGAGGAGGAAACAGATCTCTAATGGTGGACAGGATTTAGAGGCAGAAGGAACAAAGAAAGGGATTCTAGGAAAGAGAATGGACATAAGTTAAAGGATGAAAGTGAGACAGCAAGGAAACTGGCTTAATTATAGCACAGCTGGGGAGGAAAGACAAATATGGTTTACTACATACGACATGACAAAATCATGGAGGAAGCTGAAGGCCAGGAAACGCTGCAGAGATTTGAAGCAGGAGGAAATATGGAGTCACGAAAGATTACTCTGCCAGTCAGGTGAAGTAGAGGGGAACGTGGGATGTGCAGGAAGCCAGGTGGGTGAGCAGCCTGGGATCACCTGGGGAACCAGGAGGGAGCAATCAATAAGCATTCACTAAGCTCCTGCCAAGAACTGTGTGAGGCACTGAGGTGCACAGACAAGAGTGTTCACAAAGGGGAAACAGTTTTGACCTCCAAAGAGACCCCCCCGCCAACGGGAGAAGAAAGGACAGCCAGGAGGAGCACTCACTGGGAAAATCAAGGGGACCCGATACCCAAATAGAATGGAAGAGGATGGGCCTACGGCAGTCCACTAAGAGCCCAGAGCCTGGGAGAGACAGCCAGTCACAGAGGAGAAACGAGAGGCGTGACGTGGGAAAGCCCAGCAAGCAGCTGGGCACAAAGGCCTGGCACTCAGGTGAGGGAAAGCAAGTCATTTCACTAGAAATGTATTTGAAAGTTTCTAGCACTGAGGTGGTGAACGATGTGAGTGAAGAATCACGTGCGCCTCCAGGAAGCTTTTACAAGTCTATTTATGAAGTGGTGGGAGTTTTGTTACTGTCAATGACAAGCAAAAGCTTATAAGGCACTGGAACCTGCAGACACCGTTATGGTCCAGCTCCCTGGCCTCCTCCTCCAAGAGGCCCTTCCTGATTGCCTTGCTTGTAGTGCCCTCACCCAAATCCATGTGTGGGGTGTTTTGGGTTTGAGGTTTTTGGTCTGTTTACTTTTCTGTGACTGTGTTGTTGGCCCCCCTTAGTTCCCCTAAGTAGAATGAAAGTTTCCTGAGGGGGCGGGACTTGTAGCCTCAGGGCCTCAAAACAGTGCTTGTCACATAGGGGACACTGAGAAAGTATAGTAGAGAGAAGGGAATTAAGTGAATGTGAAATTTACAGAAGGAAAAGAATATGTAAGCCCAAAAGAAAAATGAAAATGAACTCATTACATCTCCTCAAGCCTCCACATTACCTGTCCGGTTCCCACCCCTCCACAATACACCACATTGGATCCCATGCACGCGAGCAATTCTTTGGCAGCAGCAAACTCCTGCTCCGGTCCTCCGACCATGAACGTCAGGTTCCCAGCTCGAGCGGCTCCCACCCCTGGAAAAAAAAAAAAAAGATGTGCAGTGGAGAATAAATGCAGGGCAACATTATGAAAGAATCTTAAAAGTGTGGTTGGACTAACAGACAAATAAAATTCAGTGAAACATCATCGACACAAACCAAGCGCATTCTGCAATGCTTTCCACGATCCCAACGTGTCCACTGCGGCACAGGACACGCCTAAATACTGCTCTGGGAGGTACTCTACCAACATGACTCACAATGCCCAAAGAGCAGGGGGAAGCCACACGGCTGGGTACGCAGGCTTGGGCGCACTGTCCATGATGATGTGCCTAGGCTCACATGTGATCCCATAAGGAGACAGGCGAGGCAAAGGGGAGGAGGCCCAGACAAAAGGCCTGAGGACTGCGCTCTGTGAGAATCCAAGGAAGGGGTCCGGCGCACCGGAGGAATCCCCGATGGAGGAGTTATGAAAAGACCTGAGAAGGACACAGGATGAGGAGAGATGGAGCAGCGAGCCTCCACACTGCGGAGACTGAAGAGTCACCCTGCATGTGGAAGCATGTATAAAATCATAAAGCCAAAACAAAGCAGACATTACAAATCAGTGCGGGGATGTTTCCGCACACAGAAATCATGGATGATACAAAGAGAGTTTAGGGCAGTACCATTTCGGTGTTCGAAAAATGATGACTGAAATATTTTGATGATATTTGACAGTTTTTATGAGTTGATGTGGCCCAAAATTTAGTCCACTCATGGTCAGCCAGCCTTTCAGTGATGAGCACTTCGCATTTAGCTAGCCTAGCAATCAGAGGGCAGACATGCAGTCTAGCCACTCCCTACCCTCCCCACACCGAGTCTCAGTCTCCTCATCTGTTACATTGGAGGACTGGAAGAGATGATGACCTCCAGGGCTCCTTCCAGCCTAACCTTAGCATCCTAGTGCCAAGCCCAATGGCACACATCTTTATCTCGGTAGCACCTGACAGTCTTAGAAAAGGGATCCCCTCTACAATGCTAAGATTTTGGGCAAAGCGCTAGTCTTCACTCGAGTATTCACAATGAGGAATCATAGCCTTTTAAAAGACTGAAGTCTGAAACGAGCATGATAGAAACAAATGCCCAGTCCTGTTCTAAATATTAATTCTATTCTCCCCTCATTGATTCATTATCCCCAAGCAACATCTAGTTCTTTTTAAGGTTCATGTGAAAGAAGGGTCACCTCAGGACCACTTAAATTCAAGGATTTGGAGAACGATAACATCTCTCACTTCTCTTGCACATGTTTCCCATTGCTTAGAACGTCCTCCCTCCTAATCTCCACGTCTGAGAATCATTCTCTCCCTTCAAGGTTTAGCTCAGCTACCATCTCTACCATGATACCTTTTCCTCTCCGCCTTATGCTTTCTTTCTCTTGAATCAAATTTTCTTATATTTGCTTAGCTATTTACCATGTTTCACCACATAATCGACATCACAGCATAATCATCACACCTTGTTGTTTTTTTAGTCCAAAAATTAGTTTACAACCTGTCATCACATAATTATCACATGGAAGCCGCTTAAAAGGTAAACAGAGCAGCGATGTATTCACCAGAGGCATATGGATACGCATTTATCTTTTGCGACTTGTCAGCCACGAGCCTAGAATTCTCAGCACACGCGCATCATCAGTATATTTCTGAAAGCCAACCTGTGGCTTGTTTAGAGTGCTGCGGTACTAACAGTACTGTCACTTAACCCAATGAAGAGCCTTAGGCGCAAGGGGAGTGGGCAGGCGGGCAAAGCTGCCATGAGTAAGTCACATGACATGGTAAGCCTCGCATCTTCCCCCTCCCTGCCCCGTTCATCTGCCACTTAATAGTAATAAATTATTTTTAAGTAATACCAGCATAATTTTTTTAAGTTTCACATAATGGTCGCACCCCACCTTTTCTGCAAACAATTTGGCATAAAATCTGTGACGATTATGCAGTGAAATACGGTACACAGTGCATTCTCACCATGACATTGTAAGCTCCCTGAGGGCACAGACTAGTTTTAGTTTTTGTCTTTATATTCCCAGGGCTCAGCACAGTGCTTTGTACATAGTAGGTGCTAAATAATTATTTGCTGAATTTTCTCTGACCCGTGAAGCTCGTGATGTCTGTTTGCTGTGTTTAGATTTTCTCATTAAAAAAAAAAAGGTATACATTTGCCAGCAAATGCATTAAATGAAAATTTCAGATAATAAGATTCTATGCTGAGGTCTTCAGAGACGGATTATTCCAATGGGCACTGTGCAATATCATAGTTTGGCCAATGCAGTGGTACCAGAGGTAAACAGGTATAAGGACTAAAACTTTAAATTAATTCTGCTATTTTTTTCAGGCTGTTTTTAAAAGGTCCTGTTCGGTAAGCATCGAATTTTAAGGCTAAAATTGATTTAAAAAATTTTTTTATCTTCTTCCTCTTCTGTATTGGCATAGAGGATACAAAATGGATGGTTTTGTAGCTAAAAGACGGTGCTCAAGAGAGGAGTTTACTAATCTACTTCACGTGGCAGCAGCACTTTGGTAGAATCACTGTGAATCCACTTGTCCACTGCTTCAACACTGAGAAACTCATTTTTATCAGTTTAGACAGACTCGATCAGACTCTAGGGAAACCAGTAATGCAAATAAGCTTTCACCCAAAATACTAAGCTAGTAATTTACAAGGGAAGCTCTACCTGGCCTGGGAATCAGGACTGATTCTTATGGGCACTTCTTCCTTGTGGGAGATACAAAAAGGAAACACAATTATAAAAATGACAATGCTGCTTGGGGAGAACACAGTCAGAACCAACTGAGCCGATGCTCTCCAGGAGAATTTCCAACAACCTAGGGAAGCTTAATAACATGATTTTTCTCCATTTCAAGCACATTTCTGCTTTAGGAACTGTTATGAGTCACCTCGAAACAGAGGACCTTATTCCTTGGACAGTGCTGGTTCAGTCCTGGCAAATTCTTACTGCCCAAATTTCCTTTTTTCAAAATTCTTTATCAGTCACCAAAAAATCAGTACAATACTTCCTGATGAGAGACGAGAGACATACTGTAATTGAGAGTTTATTGCCATTCTTTCCAAGAGGGCACCTTAGTCTTATAGTAACCTAGGACAGATTACTTCTAAAGCTGACTAGTCAGATCCAAAGTATTAGAAAGGAAATATAGTTTTGGACTTGGGGTTAGGAAGACCCCAGTTCAAATCTTGCCTCAGACACTTACGAGCTGTGTGACCCTAGGCAAGTCATTTTACCTCTCTCAAACTCAGTTTCCTCATCTGTAAAATGGGGATAGCAAGAGTGTCTACCTTACAAGGTTGTTGTGAAAGCATTTCACAAACCTTAAAACACTATTTTCTTCTTTTTCTTTTTTTTCCTTTTTAGGTAATTGGGATTAAGTGATTTGCCCAGGGTCACACAGCTAGTAAGTGTCAAGTGTTTGGTCTGAGGCCGGAATTGAACTCAGGTCCTCCTGACTTCAGGGTCGGTGCTCTATCCACTGTGCCACCTACCTGCCCCTAAAGCACTCTTTAAATGTTAGATGTTATTATTATTTTATGTTGATTCTTATTAGCTTCCATTTCAGAAGGTGGTATTATTTAAATCTGTGTTCCTAGTTCTTAGAGTACACTCTTTAAAACTCACAGCGTATGCAATGATTACAAAGAAATATCATTCAAGCCTCAGGACCTACAAAAATTAGGCTAGTACTGAAATAGATTTGATCCAACTAAGAATCTTATTAACTTTAAAACAGGCCAGACACATTATCAGCATTGTTTTCAGAGAGAAATGGAAAAGCCATTCTTCATTGATACTAAAAATATCAGCTCACAATTTTCATGTCAAATCCTGTTGTCTAAGACAAGGATACTACGTGGATGAGCTATTAGCCAATGTCTTATATTTACACTAGAGCTGGGAATGAAAACACCATAAGACTCTGGGACATGTATAAAACCAGAGCCCATTAGAAGAGACAGCTGCAAGTAATGGCCTACTTTTGAACTTAATTTATCCACCTAAACCCACTATCTTTATACTTAAAAAGCCCAAGTAAGAGGAACCACATTTCATTCAAATTGTGAACTACCTCACCAGTGCAAAGTCAAACAGCCTATTGGGGTTCATATTATTTTTAACCAATTAGGTACCGGCACTGTAAGAAGTCAGCATTATGTTAGCCAACGTATCTTGGAAAAATGAGATCATCTCTGAAAACCCAAAAGGACACACACATACCAGGAACCATGACTACATTTCAGGACACATTCTTTGATTCTGTACGGCAGTCTCAAAGGACGGCTTTTTTACGACCTATGCCTATTTCATTCTGATCACGTTAAAAGTACAGGTGACTGTTACCATGTTGGCTTCCAAAATATTTCCCAGCATGACTGCAGAGATCACTACATTAATGCCCTCCAACATTGAGAACTGGTTTTATTCAATGCCCATACCTAGGCTTACGACTGCTCCAGTGATCTGACCTACAGCAAATTAAGTAACAATTTCAATCAAAGCTCACAAACAAAAGTCACAACTATCAATCACAGGTCAATAGCTTTGTAGCTACATTACAGGCTGCTAAATAGCTTCAGAGAGTCATTTATTAGAGAAAAATTAATGATGACAATAGTTCTCAGCTGGTTAAGCTTTTGACAGCTGCACTTTCTCACTTGCTCAAACACTTATTTCATGTAAAAAATAAATGTAAAAAACTCACATGCAAAAGAACAATTCATTTTATCACACATGCTTAGAGAATTTTGCAATTCTTTCCTCCATCCAACATTTGAATCTCTAGGCAAATGTATGTATATGTAATGTGTGTGTGGTTGGTTTGTTTTTTTCAATTATTCACAACCCCGTGAGAGCAGACACCAAAATGTAGATTGTACCCCAGATGAGTATCTGGTAATCCCAGAGGCCAAATCCAATACAGGGTCCCAATACAGCAATAATGCAGCATACAGTTATATGTCATAGTGGAGTACAACTTATCATG